GCGGCACTGGCAGCGCAGGAGGCGGAGGAAGGCGCGCTTGAACTCGCGGCTGGAGCAGGGGTAGATGAGCGGGTTCACGCAGCTGTTGAAGTAGCCCAGCCAGAAGATAACCTTGAAGACGCCCTCCGAGGGCTTCAGCTGCGGGAACAGGGAGCCTGCGGGGAGCAGAGACGCCAGTGGTTAGATGCTCAGGGACAGGGGGCCCGGGCAGCCCTTGGGGCAGAGGGGCCACCCTCCCCACGCTACCCACCCCCCCACCCCTTTCACGGGCCCTGGCCAGTTATCACCTAGCGGCCCTCAAGCTCTCTCTCCTCCAGAAGTCCCGCACATAATTTGAGGGTGTCCATGAACTTGGATGAGGAAAAATAGTCACCTTCAGTTTTACTCACATTTATCTGAAATTGAGCATTTCCCTCCAATGGAAGCAACAGAGCAGAATTAGACACAAACCAAATGAAATCACTGTTTTGTAGCTCAAAACTGGTACAATATTGGCAGTTTCACATGGCTCAACTTAATAGTAGCAGCTGCCAAAGATATTTTTCTACCACATTCAGTGGTTGCAGATGTTTGGAAACACTGTCTCTGCTCCTCGCTATCTGGAAATGTCAGTCATTAGAACGCACCGCTAGATCTTGTGATTTAATGCCTTCACGTGGAAGCACATTTATTTCTAAATCCCAAATTTCACTTAAAATATTTGGACAAGGTTTTCAGTGAAATTGGTTTCATGTGCAACTCCTTTGTATTTTATTTTATGCATTTGAAAGAGTGACTGAGAAGGGCTCCAGAAGGGCTTCACCGGACGCCCGGGTAGTCCCTAGCACACAGAAGGTAAGAACTCCTGAGTGAAATGTTGACCAAGGCTTGCCCCGTGCCAGGCACTGTGCTGGGCTCACATCAAACATGGCCCTTCTCCCTCGGTAGCAATGTGGACCAAATATCATGGGAATGCGGCGGGGTGATGGTGATGGTGATGGTGATGTTGGGGTAGGGGGCTTCCAGGGGTCTCAGAGGATGGACAAGAGCCAGGCAGGATGAGGAAGGTATCAGGGTATCAGGAATGGAAGGGACAGGTTGGCAAGAGGATAAAAGTCTGGGGCCCGAAGGATATGCTCAGAAAACTTCATTTGGGACAGATGTTCAAGGGCCTTAAATGCTGGGAAGTTTGGCTTTTATTTCGTGGGTAGTTAGGAGTCATGAATATTTGTAAGCAGGCAAGGGAGCTTAGAATTGAGCCTCCATAAACACAATGCCCATGGGCTGTTTGAATGCAGAACAGTGGGGCTGTCCCAGTGGAAGTGGGAAGCGGTCAGGGAAGGCTTCTGGGATGGCTTTGCAAGGAGGCAGAGTGCCAGGCAGGAGGGGTGGGGGGCACTGGGGTCTGAGATGTGTCATGAAGACCCTCCTTCCCACAAACCTCTCCTCCGGCTTCCCCATCATGGCCCTGAAGGAGTCATGTCTCCAAAAGGCACTCAACACAAAGGCATCATCCAGGAAGCAAAGGCCACTCTCTCACCCTCACTCTCAGCAGCAGCAGGGGTCAGGGGTAGGGGGCAGGGGTGTCCCACCCCGGGCAAAAGTCGCAGGTGTCAGCCAGGCTGAGCAGGCCAGGGGGAGTGCTCCTTGACAAATCATGGGACTTGCTTTCTCTCTTTTTTTGTCCCCAGAGAAATAAGAGCAGGATCTCCTACTGGGGAGCAGAGGCACCACACCCCGTCTTTGACCTGGGGGCCCTTGCATATTACCCATCTCCCATCTGGTGGGAATTCCTGGTACTAAGGAACACTGTGGAGGAAGAGGGGTGTCAGGCAGCACTGCGTGGCACAGGCTTTTCAAATCTTGGTCACCCAGCCCTGAGCAGGTTATTTGGCCATCTAAGTCTCATTTTCCTTGTCTGTGAAATACAGACAACAGTATTTCTCTGGAAGGGATTTTGTGATGATTTATAAGTTTCAGGGTATAGGACTCAGCAAGTTTGTAATAAATACTGGAGTCTATTCACCTCCCCCCCCCACCTATTTCTCTGGCTTTTGGGAAAGGAGACCTTAGCCCTCGGTAGGGACTGTGTTCCCAGCTCTGGACAGTGGCCAGAAACAGAAGCCAAGACCTGGTGGGTTTAGGGGAGGCTGGGGCATCAGAGTATCTTACGGAGACAATTTCCCTTGGGAGAAGTGTTGGGCAGTTGTCCCTTGAATGTGGGGGACACCAGGTTGACCTCAGCCTCCAGGAAGGCAGCCTTCCGAACAGCATCCCTCAATGGCTGCAAAGTAAGACAGAGTGCTGAAAATAACTTCCTGACTCAGGCCACAATTCTTTTATATTTAGGCCAGGATGACAAATCAGTGGACTATGCTTTCAGCAGCGAGCCTGAAGCTGGCCAGAGGGCATTGTTATCAGCGTGGTTTTGATTCAGATTGGTGGGCAACGTGGCATATTGCAGTTTGCTCTGGGTCTTGTTGTAAACATTAACATTTTAACTTATGCTCAACCAACCTATACGGAAGCCTGCTGCCAGCTGAGAATTTCTTACACACAAAGGAGCTGGAATTCAAATTCAGCCTTTCAGCCCGAAGTTTTTCCTACTGTGTTCTGCTGAGGTTCTGTCTTACTTTGGGCTTTCCCAGAAGTAGGCCCTTGAGACAAAGATTCAAATGCAAGTTGTTAATTTGGAAGGTAAATGAAATATCAGTAGTAAAGTGTGATGAAGAGAGGGAAGAGAAGGAAGCCAAGAAAAGGAGAGTTAGTTAGCAAGTTAGTCACTGCTGTGGGCAACTGGGATGCAATCGCACTAGGAGCTCTGGGAGACTGTGGGGAACAGGAACCTCAGAGTTATCGCAACAGTGGGGTGAGGGAGGCGGGGTATCTATACTCCCATTCCTGTCAGTCAGCTGCTCCTCAGGGTGTTAATTTTGTACAATTTCTGCCTGCTGTATGGATGGACAATGAGGATTTTGCTGGTTAGAGAAAGCCTCAAGCAAAGAGACGCAGGCAGCTGCTGGGGTGGAAGGTGACCTGTTGGAGGGGGCTGTGTGGGGAGATGGGGGGGAGTGGGGAGATGGTGGGGCACCAACAGCATCTGCCACAATTTTGTTTCATTTGCTCTCTGCCTTCTGTGCACAGACATCTTGCCTGGAAAATACAGACGTCTGTGTCTTGGGCTCCAGCTTCCAGAGGCAGCCGTTCCCAAGAGACTTTTACTGTGTTCCCTTCACATACAGCAGTTCTGAGCCTCACACCTACCTCCACCCAGAGTGCTGCAGTCTGCCTCCTCCACTTCCTTGCACCCCACCTCACTCTTTGCTGCCTGCCTGCCTGTCCCAACATTCTCTCAACTGCCCACAGCCTCCTTCAAGGATTTCTGGGTTAGGGGTGGGGAGATGGTGGGCACTTCCCTCTCCTTTGTCACGGATGAGGTGGGTAACTGCCTTAATGAGACAGGAGGGAAGGGAGCAGGGCACAACCATTAAAAGAATGACACAGCAATTGAGGAGAGGACATAAACTGGTTAGAACCAACTAGGCTCAAAATGGCAGAGGATTTGACTTCCCTTAAGCCTCATTACGTGCTCATTGTAATGTATTAGCCTGCTAAATGACACACCCACAGGTGCCATGACAGTCCCGAGGCTGACCATAGAAAGCCCAAGAGCAGGCAGGGACCCAATTCCAGGAAATCCCTGCCCCTTACCCCAAATAGTTGGAATAATCCTCCCACTTGTTAGCATATGAAATTACCCAGCCCATAAAAAACGAAACACCCTTGCAGCCCAGGGCCTCTGCCTTTTGAGACGGCCCACACTCTGCCAGTGGGATGTGTATCTCCTAGGCCCCTCTCACTTTCCAAGATGATCCCATCTCCCGGGGCCACGGCTCTTGCCTTCTGAGGCAGCCCGCACTCTGTCCATGGAGTGTGTATCTTCCTGACTAAACTTGCTTTCACTTTACTCTGGCTCCTTCTTCAATTCTTTCCTGCATGAAGCCAGGGACCCTCACTTGGCAGGGTGCGTTCCAGGGACCATCCTCGGGCCCCCATTTC